ACAGGTTGAAAAGCATGAAGTGCAGTCCACTAGAAGGACATCCATGTGGCGTCCATCATCCTTGGGGCGTGTGCTTCCCATCTGGCAGGCTTCTGCAGTCGTCCCAGGAGGCTGATAGCAATTGAGAAGTGTACCCACTCGGGCAGGACCTCCCTGCTGGAATTGAGGAGGGTCAGGACCCCCGAGCTGACACTCACTAAGGAAGCCTGGAGATGCAATGGGCCCCAAGTTGGGAGCAACTTATCACTAGATTAAAAAAGGAGCCACKAGGGYAACGCTGTAACCTAGGAAATAAGTGGGAGTCCAGCAGGGCTCTGGGCTCAGTGCAGACAGAGCATTTGACACAAAAGCTGCTGGATGTGGCCTGGGGTGGCTTCAATCTTCCCATTTCATTGCTCCTTCTTCCCCACGGAGAGCACTGGGACTCAGAGGCTGAGACAGCAGTCGGGGAGATGCGTGGACTCATCTGTGAGGAGCTGGGGAGGCCAGCTGGTGGGGCCCGGAGGCTGGGGTGTGTGCCTTCTTCACCTTGGCGTAGATGACAGAGGAGTCCTAGGAGGAAGGAACACTTAGGAGGGGGCCAGAGCTGTTGGGCCCCCGGGCGAGGCAACCCAGGTCAGGAGACTCACCGTCTGATGGCTGAGGCTGTGTGCAGAGGCCGCTGTGGAAAGAAGGGGAGCGCTCAGCTGTGGAGGCCCACTCAGAGCTGTCCCTGTGCCCCGTGCTACCTCTCCTGCCAGCAACTGCCCATTCTGTCCTCAGCCTTGGAGCGCTGACCAGCCCCCTCCTCAGCACCACCTCACACTTTGCTCCCCACTCTGAGCTTCCAGAAGCTCTCAAAAGAAGGGCTTCACCTTTGACCTTGGTAGTCCCTTGACCCTAGAGTCATGTCACATATTATGGAGCATTGTCTGAAGCAGGCTTTAGAGAGAAGATTCCGAGTCCTGTCTCCCTGGGACGGAGCCCTGGGTCTGCCTTGCCACCCTGGTGGTCTGGGGCTAGTCACTCAACCTCTCCTGCCTCAGTTGTCACGTCTCTATGATGGGAATCTGCATGTCATCTGCCTCTGGGCTTATGGCAGAGATGTATGCATCTATGTGATACAGGCACATACTGTGCACCTGGTTTTAGATGGATAATTCCTATCCTCTGTCATGTGCTGAGCAGTTTCTGTGTGCCAGGTAYAGTTCTGAGTGCTCTAAAGAAAATAAACTCGGGGCTGGGGTTGTGGCTCAGCGGTAGAGTGCTCTCCTAGCACCCGTGAGGCACTGGGGTCGATCCTCAGCACCATGTAAAAAGGAATTAAAGATACTGTATCCACCTACAACTAAWAATAAATAAATAAATATTGAAAAAAAGAAAACAAACTATCATATGCAAGTATACTACAGTTATGTCTTTCTATATCTATATATGCTACAGGTACAGTTCTAAGGGATATCTAAGATATTTATACATATGATAAATATGTATTTATAGATATTTATTTTTGTATCCTAGTTCTAAGGAAATATATAGCTGAGATCTTAGATATAAATATATATCTTAGATCATATATATGTATCTCTCTCTAAGATCTCTTTCTATATATACACAATTTTTATTTACACCCCTATATAGCCCTGTTCTAAGGGATTGATCTGTCTACCGACCAATCTATCAATCATCAATGTATATCTTAAATATATATTAGATCATTTGTACATATACACACACATATATATATATCTTGGATGTATCTTAGATCTACCATGATGGGATTGGCGTCCTTAGAAAATGAGACACAAGAAAGATGATCTCTCTATCATGAGAGGATATAGCAAGAAAGCTCTTGTTTGCAAACCAGGAAGAGGAAGAGGGGAACCTGACCATGTTGGGAACTTGAGCAATAAATGCTTATTTTGTAAGCCAACCMGTCTATAGTATTCTGTATAGGATCCCAAATTTACAGAGGGGTTCAGTGACATCCCAAGGTGATGGTTCTGTACTGAGTTAGGTTGTACTGAGGCCATCAGTTGAGGACAGAGAAAGCAGTACCATATGATGGGCTTGGGTTAACCCCAAACAGTGTAGGCACAAATTGAGAAGCCCCCGTGAACTAGGCTGGGGGGCAGCTGGCTCTGTGTCTGGCTGGCCCAGACCTTCTGGGGAGGAGGAGATGGAGTAGTAGGCTGTCGACGTTGAAGGCTGGCCAGAACAGGTGCTCCCTCTGGTCTTACCTGAATTTCTGCTTTCCTTCTGGAGGCACGACACTTGGGAGTAAACCACGTCTTCTCCTCTAGAATTTACTTAGAGAGAAGTTGACGTGTCAGAGGACAGGAAGGAGCTTGCCTCTTATCTGAGCCCTGTCCTCCTCCCCAGCCTGTTTATTGTCCAAAAGGACGAAACCTTCTGGGTCTGTGGGCTGTCCCTCCTCACCTCCGATCCCAGCTCTTTCCCACACTGACCCTGTGGCCCAGCCAAACAGCATGTCCCTGGTCCTCACCGTTCATGTACACCGGCTGCAGCTCTATCCATTCTGGCACATTGTGGTAGGTGGGATCCTGGGGGTTGGAGTCTGAAGAGCGCCTGTGAGACACAGGAACACTGGTGTTTCCCAGGGGCCTGACACAGTGGCTATGGTGATCCCTCTCAGTGAGTTTTTACCCCAGACGGGCAGTCAAGCCTGGAATCATATTCATGACMACGAATCATGAGGAATTCATACCATATGTTTTCCCAGACTTTACGGCCACCAGGTATGTAACAGGCACTGTACTTGGAGCAATAGAAAGTTAGTTCTATTTTATCTCCATTCTACAGGTAAAAAAAAATAATGGAGGTTTTACAAGGTGAAGTGACTGACCATGACCATGTGACCAGAAAGGGGAAAAACCAAAATTCAAACCAGGCTCCAGAACCTCTACTTTCACAGAGATCAGAATCAGAAAAGGTCTTAGGAACTCTGGATGGTTTAGATACTACTCCCACTGCTACCAGGGGCTTGCCCAGGGATAGTGTTGAGCCACGGTGTGGCTACTGAAGTCAGCCTTAAGGATCCAAGACAGTGGCCCTTCTTCAGCTGGCAGAGTGACTTCACTGGGTGACCAAGTTATGCGGCTCTATCTTCTTGGCTGTCATCACAACAGGTCTTGGTTAGGTTAGCCAAGTCCAGAGCTTTCCAGGTTAATTAAGCTAAGTCATCTCAAGACATGGATGGACTCAGGGGTCACAGTGGTCACTCAGACAAACAAGCCAAGAGCTAGGTGTGATTGTATAAGGATGTGAGCTGAGAAATAAAAAGTAATGGACACTTGATGTGAGAAGAAGGCCTCTACAGTTGAAGTGGTGGATGGGAAGGTCCTGGGAATTGCCTTGAGGTATCCCAACAGAAGTGGCGATGTGAAGCGGGTACCACCCATCTCAGCATCATACAGCAGAAACTGGGCTCTTGGTGATAATCAGGTTCAATTCCATTGTATACCCCATGGGAATTAACTACATGGAAACACAGCCCAGGTCTTACCTGGAGGGGTCAGAGGCGGTCCGTCCCCCTGTGAAAGAAAGCACAGAGGTATTTGGTTTAGGAAAAGAGGACCTTCTTAGGGGGTCCAGCCACAGGAGACTTACATAGAAATCACCAGGCACTGCTGTCGATAAGTCTGAATCCTTCCCAAGGGGGGTGATATATGGGGCCCAAACTACTAAACCACTGACTCTGGCCTCCAAAGGAGTATGGTTATAATGTGAAATAGGAGTCCACCAACTGTAGGCCTTGAACTTGGAGTTTTTAAAGAGTGATCTTTAAAAATGGCAGGCAGTTTAATAGCTGCAAGGCAGGAAAAGAGACTTTATCATCTACAAACATACTGTGCATTTAAAAAAAATCAATAAGCTACCTACTCCTATTTGGCTTCTGTTTTCAYTTCTGTTTCTCAGAGTTGATGTCCTCCTCTTCCCATCGCTTAGGGGGTCTTTTAGATACCGAGGGAGGCATGTTGCAATTTGGGGGGTTGGATAAGCTGCATGTCACCCAGGCTTGCTCCACTAACACGGCTCTTTCAGCAGTTTCAGATTTGGTAAAGAGGGCTTTGGGGGACCCAGTGGGAAAGGTGAAGAGGGATKGTGGGGTGGAAGGAGAGGAGGATTTGAAAGCCTGGGGTACGGTCACACAGTCGGCATGAGGTTGAAGGAAGACAGAGGAGGGATGGGCTCAGGCGGAGGTGAGCCAGGAGCTTCTTACCTGSTTTCCTCGAAAGCCAATGGTAGAAGAGCAGAGCGCCAGCAGCCAGGACCACCGTCCCCAGCAGCCCCCCAGTGACTCCTGGGGCCACAGGACCACTTTGGCTCTCCGTTAGCCCTGACGGGGAGACGCCAGGCGTGAGCCCAAGACAGAGGCTTGTGGCCTTCAGCTGCTCTGAGCCCTGAAGCTGGTGCCTGGCCTGGGAGACAGGACGAGCCTAGAGGCCCAGAATCCCTGAGGCCAAGCGGGTGTTGGTGTGGCACAGGACATGGCTCCTGGCTTTGTGAGGCAGTGCGTTGCCATGATTGAGACAGGGCTGAGGGTCAGGATGGACAGTGGCCAGTGAGAGAAGAGCCAGCAGGTAAACCCTGAATTCCATGATGCTCTTTGTCCCTGCCCCCACCACAAGTGCCATCGCTGGAGAAGCATTTGGAAATCTATCAGTCTATAGAGAGCCGCCAGCTTAGTGGACCTGGGAAGCACCCTCTTGGTAAAGCCCATGAGAATGACCAGAGGGTCCCTGGAGGAAATTTTTGGCTCACACCTGTGCCCTGGGCATAAGAAACTTACCTGGGATGAAAAGTGCCACCGCCTCACTGCGCTGGGCCCCCAGGCCATTGTCGGCCTCGCAGGAGTAGTTTCCAGAATGTTCTGCAGTCAGGGAGAGGTTGAAGGATGCCCCTCCCTCAGAGGGCGCCGAGCTGTTCCCCAGGGTGACGTCCTCAAGATAAAACTGGTACAGGATCGGGGGAGAGCCCCTCAGGGCCTCGCAGTGAAGCTCGACCAGGTCCCCCACCACAGCCTGGGCCCTGGGAGCCCTGAGGGTGAGCACAGGGCGGGACACTGGAACTGAGACAAAACAAAATGTCCATGGCAGTTTCCGCTTCTAACATATTTGTAAGAAAAAGAAAAGTGTTATAAACAAACGGAAAAAGTCAGAGCTCAGACTCTGAAAATGGATTAAAACAAACCATAGTTAATGACTTTGATGCATAAATTCCTTTTCATGTACAGTAATATTCCATAGAAAATGTAGAAAGTGATGAAAACTTCAAATAGTCAGTAAATATAAAAAGACTTTTATCTTCATTATGAATACATTACATGTATGCAAGTAAAAACAACCTGAATACAATACAATTCCTTTTCCTTCTCACCCGATTGGCACAGCCCAAATGGATGGATAATGCCTACAAGGTAAACAGGCACCTTGTTATTGACTAGGTGAGAAAGCAAATTTAAGACACTTCTTTGACAATTTGAAAATATCYACCAAATTTAAAACACTTTGAAAGCTTGGCCCAGCAAAACTATGTCTAGGACCATCTCCTTTAGGGATACTGACATAATGTAGGTCAAAATTGTTTGTATATAGCTAAATATCAGAAATGACCCAGTAGACCAAGTAATGCAATAACGAAAGATAGCTAAGATGTATAGGTGTATTTTTAAGTGAAAAATGGAAATTGGGTAACTATATGTGTAATATGATCCTACTTGGGTAAACAAATTCTGTGCCTCAATGTTCATAGAATATTTATGGAAAATACTCATGAAACAGTTAACAGGTAGTTATATCTAGGAGAAGTGAAGTTAGAAAGAGACCTTTGTGTTCACTTATACATTACTGTTGGAACTACAAATTGGTACCACCACTCCAGAAAAAGTATGAAGATTCCTTAGGAAACTTGGGATGGAACCACTATTTGACCCAGTTATCCCACTCTTGGGTTTATATCCAAAGGACTGAAAGTCAGCATACTCTAGTGATGCTGCCACATCAATGTTTACAGCAGCTCAATTCAGAATAGCCAGGCTATGGAACCAACTTAGGTTCACTATAACAGATGAATGGATTAAAAAAACAAGTGGTATATATACACAATGAAATATTACTCAGTCTTAAAGAAGAATGAAATTATGGCATATGGTAAATAGATGGAACTGGAGAATATTATGCTAAGTGAAATAAGCTGGTCCCCCTCCAAAAAAAAAAAAAAAAGACAGAATGTTTTCTCTGATATATGGATGCTAAGTCACTACAAGGAAGGGGAAGATTAGAAGTTCCTTGGACAGACAAAGGGGAATGAAGGGAAGGGAGGCGATATGGGAATAGAAAAGACAGTAGGATGAATCAGACCTATCTGATTAAGTTATTTTAATTCTATGTAGGTATGATATGCCAAAATACACTCTACTGCCATGTATGTCTAGAAAGAACAAATAAATTTAAGAAAGAAAGAAAGAAGTAGACCTTTACAACGTTGGTCCTTTGGTAATACTGGATTTTTTTAACATTCAGATAACATTTCATGATATGGATCTTGAAACTAGGACACACGTCATAGAGAGGAGAAACTGCCTCCCAATCTGCTCTTCTGGGTGGTTGCTGCTCTCCGTGACTTGGGTCCTAGCTCTGGAACTCACACACAATATATCCAGGATGTTCAGGAAACTCTTTAGCTAGGTTGATAATAGCAGCAGAATAACAGGTGTTTGTGCCGGGGAATCATAGGAACAAGGGGAGAAGGATGATCAACAGTCCCAGTTCAGAGGAAAACTGTCTGAGGCAGGTGCTACTGGGACAGGAGAGAACATAGAGCAGAGAACAAATGAACTGGCTGAATGGGAGAAACCACACCTCAAATCAGCTCACCTCCCGGGGACTTAGAGATCACTGCACTGGCTACCTCGAGTAGAGACTGGATCCTGAGCTAGCAGTCCCGAATTATCCTGTTTCTTTAACTTTGTCTCTACTCCTTAAGATACTTAGGGATTCAGCCAAGAAAGACCAAGAGTGTAGACCTATGTTTGGCTTTACCTGACTCAGGGGGTAATCGTACACCATAGCATAGTCTCCCGTTCCTGGGATGTATCCCGGAGGTAGGGACAACCCTCTTCTCCTTTTGCATGAATCCTTCTAGGAAACTTTGTGTCTGTATGTTCTATATTCCCTGTCCAGGAAATTATGGCACAATTTCCATCTAGGACAGAGAAATTATGACACAATTTCCATCTAGCTGGATTTCTCACTTTACGGGTGAGGAAACTGAGGTCAGTATAGGAAAGATGCTTGGTGAAGGTCATATAGGCAGTTAATCTTTAAAGCCAAGTCTAGAACATTCATTGTAAMAGCCCTAAGCAGACTTTTTCTTTACCCTAGGTCTCCCTAAACAAGGTTTTAAAGGTCATCGCCAAACAGATTAAAAGCTCAACAGAAGCAGTTTTCCTTTGGTTATTACACTTAATGGCAAGGGATGAAAGGACAGCTTAGAGTAGACAAATTTAATTGATGGGGGCGATTTTTATCCCATGTCACCCTGCTGTCCCCTCCTCTGCCCTGTCACCTGTGCCCATCCTTTAAGGACCCAAAGTCTGAGAGGCTGTGCTGATGTTAGCAGAGGGTTTTAATATGGAATATGGATAAAACTTCTATTCCTGGGAATGAAGTGAGCTCATGAGGAGAAGCTTCTTGGAAGTCAAGGAGAGAAGAACCCAGGCAAGGAAGGGTCTGATATTTGGGGGGAGCAGAGAAACCCATCCTCAGAATTCTTGGGCATTTCCTTCGTATCATCATTGCAGGTCAGGATGGGGTCTGTGTTGTAAGAATGTCTTCTCGGGATTTTCAGAGAGAGCTTTAATCACACTGAAGGAGAGCTGTGCTGCTGGGAAGGTCGGGCTTCCCGAAACTCTACCTCAGGAGGGAGCTCAGATGTTCAACAGGGGCTCTACGGGCAGGAGGAGGCTGGGAAGGCAACCAGACAGGAGCCCGGGGAGCGCTGCACCTTCGTCTGGTGCTGTTGGAAGGGAAGGCACCCGCAGGTCTCGCTTGTGCTGCTGGTGGGCACAGCCGGCTCACCTGTGACGATGACAGTCACCAGTTCACTGTGCTGGAACCTCAGGTCATTCTCAGCCTCACAGGAGTAGTTTCCAGAATGTTTCTCCATCAGGGAGAGGTTGAAGGAGGCTCCTCCGCCAGAGGGGGCCACTGTGCTGCCCAGGGTGACGTCCTCATGGTAAAACTTGTACAGGATCGGAGGAGAGCCACTCAGGGCCTCRCAGTGAAGCTCCATCACGTCCCCCACCACAGGCTGGGCCCTGGGAGCCCTGAGGGTGAGGACAGGGCGGGACACTGGAACTGAGGGAGGAAAAACTGCCATCAGCTCTTTCTGATGGAATATATTCTTCCACACCAAATACATTTCAAACAGGAAAGTGATTTTCTTGTTTTCTAATGACCTGGAGACACGAATGTGAGCTCATCCTTTACACATTCTCAGAACCTTCTTCAGACCTCAGGAAACACTGACATGTGTGCAGTTCTTACCTGTGGTTTGGAGCACTGAGATGCACAAACCCAAGCACATGTGAGGAATCTGAAAACAGATGAAATTGAAACCTGTGCATCTGATAAGGATGAAGTGGGGAAGGAGAAACGAGTCCAACAGAAAGTGAAGGAGAGGAGAGAGCTGTTGCATATATAACCAGGGATGGAATTGAGTCTGGGCTACATGAGGAACAGGACTCACAAGAGGATGGGCATTGCAGTGTACTTGCTCATTTTTATATTTAATTATTCACTAATTACTGAATACAGGATATCCATAAGTTCCACAATGGCTGTATCTAATGGATATTCAATGGTAAGAAAGACACAGACCCTGCTCTCAGAGCTTCCAATGCAGGGGAAATGGTAGGCAGAAACTGAACAAAACAGAAATTTAGAGTCAAAGCATTGATAATTGACACCAAAGATCAGGTGCTAAGAAAGGTTGAATACTGGGACTGGATCTAGCACAGATGAGTCGGGAAGCTTCTCATGGCATTACAAATTAACCATGGGAAGAGGGAGGAAAGAGGACATGAGGCAGGTAGACAGTATGTGCAAAGCTCCTGGGTTGGGAAGAAGGTGGGCATAGGTGGGAGTAGCACTGAGGGAAGGCTGGAGAGCCAGGCAGGGCTTCCCACGCCATGCTGAGGATTTTGATCCTTCTTCACTAAGCAATGGTATGAGAATTCTGATCTGGTTATGCAAAAAGGACAGTAGTGGGGGCAGAGGTGAAATTGAGGGTTAGTTAAATGTCATTAAATGATGAAGGCTCTGACTAGGGTGGTGGCCATAGAGATAGAGAGGATTCAAGGAACACCCCTCAGTTTCTGCCTTGTGGATTTGGATGAAAGAGGTATCATGAGCAGTGGATGGAGCAGGATCAAGCAGTGGTGTTTCTAGATGTGAGAGAAATGGAGCAAGTCAAATGCTCATGGAAGGAGCCTATGAGGAGGGATGCTGAGAGTCATGAGTGAGAAAGGGATAGTTGGTTTCCTGAAGGTTCTGAGGATGCATGAGAGGATGGAATGTAGAGATCAAATGGAAATGTTCACTGACACCGGGAGAAGAGTCCCCTGCTCCACACCTGGGGGWAAGGGGGCATAGTTACTGACTGGGTGGAGAGATAGACAAACACTCAATTTGATGGTAGGAGTCAGAGGTGTTCTTGGCAGATGGATGAGGGAGGGAGWAGGAGAGTGATTGAACTGGGAGTTCTGTTGAGGTCTGAGGAGAGTAGTGACAGAAGGAGTTGCTGGAAGGGCAGGAGGTCATGGTGAGTAGCTAGTGCTTAAAATGGTCTTTTAGGGTTGGAGGCCTGTGTATATGTGGGGTGGATGATGGATGTGGGAAAAGGACAGGCCATGGTGTTGGTCATGGACAAAACATAGACATGTGGTCATTAGAGTCATGGAATGA